GTGGTAGACATTATGGGCTTACAAATCAGTCGCTGTGCGCTGCGCGGGTTCGAGTCTCGTCCCAAGACAGTTTTTCTCTTGCCTATGGATGTTGTGATTGTGGTAGGTGGTAGACGGTATCTGGCTGTCGAACGTGGAGGTACCACCCGGCGGATCTCTAAGGCGGGGTCAGAATGTGCGCATGTTGTATGCACACGTTTTTCCATGCTAGAGTCCGTCTCGCGTCTCGCCCTTTCCCCTGAATACCCTATAGCTTCATGGTACACATGGTTGTTCAGGCTTCAGGCCTTCGGGCTGGTTTAAGTATAGAGAAAAACCAAAAATAGTATTTTGATAACATCTTCGTTAGATTCTGGCTTCAGGATGGAAATAACTATACGATATATTAAATTAGAGAAAATTTTTGACAGTTTGAGTTTCAAGCATTTTTTTATACAGGGTGTCTGCGAAAGGTTGGGATATTTCGAAACTGTAGATACTACAGACCAAAATATGTAAATTGATCTAAATATACCTTAGTTCAAAAGTTGTTAGTTTGCGAGATACAGGGTAGCAAAGTTACAATGTTATTTTCTATTTTTCCTTATTAATTGAGAAGTATGTCAGATTTTGGCATAAAACTCGGTATACGGAGGTTTTTAGTATGAGAAACAAGAATCTATTAGTTTTTTTTTGGGCAAACTTCTAGAGGGCACCACTTACAGCACTATTGCTGTAAATAACTCATCAAAACTTTTTGTGCCACCCTGTATACAACAACTGACCAAAAAATCTTATTTTCTCGTATTTTCACAGCAAAAAAGGTTTACTTGTTAGAGTGTCTACAGCTAATAGTGTTCGAGATATCTGATTTTAAAGCATTACATCTTGCCAATCCGTACATTAAATTCGTATCAGAATATTCATCAAAAGTATACTCCATGATGTTAAACAACTTATTGTCAACTTAAAATTATTCATGAAGCTTAAAGCAATATTATGACAAACATTAGAAATCATAGCAACGGTACTCAGATATTATCCAAAGCAATTTCTCTAATGTAACATTTAAAACTTATCCTGCGGTTTTCAAGCTCATAATTCTCCATTTCCTTTTCTGGTCATTAAGTGAAATCACATAGACGTAGTATTGGCCATTTACTGACGTTTCGGCCACCTCGATCGCCTTTTTCAAAGTACAAATCTTAAGTGACCATGACAACGTTTTTTGTATTATCTGCCTTCAAGGTGATCGTTTATTTGTCTGTTTGCCGCTATTATACAGTGTGTTTAGCCTGAACGGTCCTGTGTCACGCCGAGACTGTGTGAAACTATCTTTGCAATTTTAAGGCGACAAGAGAGCATGAGGTTATTTGTTGTTTTGTATGAACCAGTCACGTCACCCCTACATCAAGCATGGGGGTCATGATTCCCTCCTGGGTGAATCTAGTTTGACCACTAATATTTATACATGTGATTAATCCAACAAAATACAGACATTTTGCAAATATGTAATGGATACAAATAGGTAAAAAATTTGGTGAAAAATCCTGCCACACCCGGCAATCCCGATGGTTGGGTGTTTTCGCTCGCAGTGGATTGAAAGGACAACCCGAGAATTTCGTGAAAAAAACGTGTTCATTTTGTTGACAAACGTGACATCTTGCGAGCAACGCCTTTTTTTTGTTTTTTCTTCCATCTTGCGATGATGAATCATGTCTGGCCGCGACGTTGCCGGTGAGATCATTAAAATCGATCAGGATATCGACTTTTGAGCACCAAATGATTGGACTATAAGTACTTACCTGGTAGTTAGAATTTCAGTTATTAAGCCAAGGCTTTAAACACCGGCTCCCGATTCTCCCGCAGCTAAATTGCCAATAATAACTGACCATGGATGATTTGTGAACACGGACATTTGTCAGAGTGACTTTAAAAATGGTAGAATATCGCTTTTGTGCTAATAAGAAGTAATTGAGGCGTAAATTTGTGAAGATTTTTTCTTTCTTGCATCTTGGCGTGTTGTTTTGCTCTGTTATCATCGCTAGAGATGAACATTGGTATTATACGGTTGCCCCCATTAAGGCAAGTCACTGCCATTGAACGTCAAATTTGTATCAAATCAGACTATTCCTAATCCCAACTGTAATAAAAAGAAAATCTCTCTCGTACTCTTTGTATAAAAAAGCAACTATGAGTCTTGTTATCCGAAAACCAAAAACGCATGGCGTCAAGTGTGGGTTATAAGGTGGATGATCCAATACCTTCTAGATTCTTAAAAAGCTTCGCCGGCGTGTTGTCATTGTCAAAGCATCACGATATAGGCGATATAGGTCTTAAACTGGCCAGTATTGCAAAATGTCATCTCCATACCGTAGGGGTATTACGTACAAACTGATATCATGTCATTAAAAATGGTATGTCAAATTCTGTACTAGCTAGTCGCTAGTCCACGCCACACGCACTTGCTGGGAACGACACCTGAGGAATGTGACAAGGAACTATAGTATATAATTTATAGCCTTAACCATAAAAGCTATAAATGTCCTTCGCTAGTGTCAGTACTGAAGCAGTTGTTCAATCACATCAGAGCCAAACCATATAGCTCAAGAGTTATGATGTTTAGGCAACCCGCGTAACTGGTACAAGTGAACATGACGTGAATGAATGTTAGTTCCAATGTGACATTTTTTTCGGAAAAACCTACAAAATGTCATTAAAAATCTATATAGAGTCACTTTTTAAGTTGTGTAATACAGATGCCGTTCTGTTTATTAAACACAATGTTTGCCAAAAATTCCAGTTTCTTGAAGGATGGCATGACCGTTTCTTTTCCAACCGACCGCAGATTCTTTTTGACCTTAATCAGCTGAACTTCATTTTCACAGACTCTGCTTTGCACTTTGGTTGGAACATAAAAAAATGTAGCCCACTTTCATCACACGTCATGTTTCGGATCTTTATAGCATTTTTTTGCACGAAGTAATTTTTGTCATCCTATATTCGCTGGTTAATGTATGGAGGATCCAAAGGGTTACAAATTTTCTCAACGTATAAATGCTCAAATAAAAATCGCTTAACACTTTATTTAGAAATATCTTTACAATTCTGCTGATTGTTTGTGCATCACTTGTTTGTTGTACATTGTAGCTTATCATGCAAGTCCTGTGTTTCTTCGGTTACTTCGGATGGCCAACCCCAATATGAATCGTCAACAAAGGGCATACGACCCGTGGAAAAGCAGTGTGTCAACGTGGGTATATTTGGTTTAACGTCATAAAGTCTATATAGGTACATAAAATGGTACTGGTGTCGCAGACCCTAAAGTAGACACATTGCAAAGCTCGTCAGAGTCACAGATGGATAATAAGTATCATTATTTAAGTTGCATTTCTGCGAACTCCTATGATAGTAATTATCCTTAAAAGTGCGGACAGACACTTTCCGTAAGAGTTAGGAACAATATTTTTTAACCAGCCAAGTAGGTTGACTCACTGCACTTCCTACGCAACGCCGTCAACAGTTCAAAAAGGATTATGTTTAGCACAAGCTAGACCATCTGAGAAAGAAGTTAGACAAATAGGTACACTTAGTCCATAGACGTCCTTTCCCTGCCCTATCGATGCCATCTGGCAACGTCGCCTCTCCCTCACCAGTCAGGCGCCCAGAAGCGGCCGTAATTCCAGAACACTCACCAATACGCAGGCCACCGGGAGCAGAAGTAGACCCAGGCAGATAGGTACGCTATATCCGTTTAATGATAATATTTTAGATTTGAGGACAAATGTACGGGAAAATATGTTTGATAGGTGCGTAGAATTACCAAGGCTGGAAGCGTATAAATATACTAAAATCAAAAAATTGACTCATCCTCCCTTCCCCGTTCAATCCCGTAACCCCAAATTTTTCACCCATACAATTTTTTCAAACATGATCAGGATCCTCTGAAACGCCAAAAAAAAAACGGTATTTGAGCGATTATTTTTTTCGTTTTCTCTATTATCAAAAACTACCAAGCTTTTTCGTAATCGGCCTAGTAATAATCCTGTGTGAAAATTTCATCAACATCCGAGCAGTGCTTTCCAAGTTATGGGCAGTCCAAGGACTAACGGGGCAGACATACAGACAGACAAACCGACGGAAATGAGGTCATGGTTTTCTATGGTGTACATGTCATACAACATTTAAAAACATAATTCCACATTTTCAAAATGTTTCGCGATTAAAATACTTACTCGCCAAAATGGCGTGGGAAGTAAAATACAACAATATATTGTAACATGAAATCATACACCTTAATGACAAAAAGTATAAACATGATTGAATTTTATTATTAATGTTATTAACAGAAGAGCAGTTGCTGGCATTTTGAAGATTTATGCTGGAGGCCAAAATTCTGAGTAGGGTAATAGTGCACTCAAACAATGATTAAATATGATTAAATTTAACATCTGCCGGTGACATTTTTACTTTGCCGCACGGTGTGCGGAAAAGTGACACTTTTAAAACTGACATGCATACGGAAATCTGTCACTTTCAGCTCCCTAGTAGAAATATATTTTTTGACTACGCCTAAGCTCGTCAGACCCCTATAAATATGACTATCGGTAACATTCTGGAATTTTTTGTTTGCCGTTCGTAACTCCTCCTAACCTGGACCGATTTTAAAACAAGCGAAACCTAATTTTCTATGACACCATAGGATCTATGGTTTTGCCGGAATAAAAAACATTGGCAATACACAGAAAACGATCACTTTTAAAGAAAGTTGCTGTATAAATGATCCAAGCTATAACGATATGATATTAAGCGAGCATATCGGAAAATCAGATAATCTGAATTTCTAAGTGTGCTAGGAAGGATACTGATGATGCAGAAGCTATATGTGGCATAATGATTGAATAAGTGTTCGCAGTGAACTAATTACTTGCATTATTTAATTAATTCATTCAGATTGAAGGATACTGATTTTTGCAAGTTACTTTCATATGTATATTCATGAGCATTTTTTTATTTTTCAGTTGCATTTGGAATCAGGTCGTGTGAGTATTCTGATATTTTTTTTTACTTTTTCACTGTTGTTTTATTATAAACCCATATTGGTTTTGTTATCCGAAGAGCAGCCGTTTGTAGAAACTTGAATAGATGAAAAGGAAAGGCAATAGAGAGCTGCTTAGTGTCCGAGATCACAAAACTCGACCCAGGGTCCTGTCCATTTTGTTAAATATTTTTATAGACCCACGTTTAGTCTGTTTATGTGGATGTGGATAACGTTGCCCACAAAGCGGATCATTGACAACCGCCATGATATGGAGGCGAAGCCTTACCATATTGTGACCAGTTAATAGTGCAGAAAATATAGTCGGCATTAGAAATGTTTCGTCTGAATCTGACCTTGACAATGGCTAGGACCATGACCTTCTACCTGTATGCTATTTCAAGGTGTAATCAAAACATTGAAAACAATTTGCTCTGGCGAAAATGTTTAGCAGAACAACAACCAAGACCTTGACCTCATCCTTCAAAGTCGATGTTTTCGAAGACCCCTCATTTTTTGACCTTGAAATAAAACGTCACAGTCCAGGTCATAGTCAAGGTCTTATTTGAGCGTAACATTTTCTCATCGTTCCCATTGCCACGTATAAATGAAAGGGTTCCATTTGAAATGATATGACCTTGAAATGACCTTGAAGTCTATTATCAAGCTTATTATCAAGGTCATCTTCATTTTACCTTCTCGATACCTTGCAACTTTTGTATGAAACTTTTTTCTATGTTGTGTAGTATTCTATATATTCAGTTGGTGAGATCAAAATGGAACACTTGATATAAATAAATTTAACGTTATTGCGGTCATTAGTTGGTGCTGTCATCATACATTCAACAAATTCCCAAAGGGGCAAGTTTACAAAGTTTTAATTTTGGTAGTACCTTGTATATGTATGAGAGTTACCGTCTAACCCTTGTATACTTTAAATAGGATCCGAGCAACCTCCGGCTTGCGAAAAATGCCTGTTAATGATCTATATTGAAAGACCTGCAAAGGAAAGGTGTGGATGGCAAATCATTAATAATTATTATTAAATCACGCTGACATATTTATTTATCTATTGTTGGGGATACGCTTTAACGATTGTGAAAAATGGATACGTGCTTATAAAGCTGCAGCACAATACGGCCTCTTTGAAAGGTGTGGACAGTAGAAAGAAAGGGAGAGAGATAGATGAATACTTAACAACTTCAAAAGTGTCAGATGTGAATGATATGAATGTGCCAATCAAGGTGGAAGACGAAGTTGGCCTTCAGGGGTTTGGGGGTACGAAAAACGGGATAACCGACAGTGTTAAATACTAAATGCTGTGTACATAAAAGTAAACAGTGTTTAGTTGCCGCTTTGCTGTAAGGTTGTAATGCCGATTAACTTTACGAAACGAAATAATATGGTAACACATCAATAATTTATCATATTCCTGGCCAAATATTTAAAAATTGCAACAAAGGATAAACCTTTTATATTTTGTGGTGACTTTTTGATGCCCTGATGATTTTTTGAACGTTTCTATAGAGTTTTTGGCCAACATGAGATAATATGCAGAATAGAAGTCTCTTATAAGTGGCAAGCCGATCTCTACTGATGAGCTGGACGGAAGAAGTGCCATTCATTTTGGCTGGTCGGAGCCCAGATCGCCGATGACTTGATCTGGCACGAATACATCTCGTCAATAGCAACAGTTGCTGGGAAAAAGATAGGTTATTTATTTAGGGCGAAGAAGTACGTTTTTCCGCATGACCTCACTGAATAGTGCACAATTAGTGCTTGAACTGGTTTGAATACATCTAGATAAACATTACCGCGATTTTGTACCTGCGAGACTTGGTAATAATAATACATTTATTTCGCTGTTAAGTAGCCACAGAGTACAACAAATCAAAGGTAAAAAGGAAATGGTAGCACAAAAACACATACGCTTGAAAAAACAACAGATTACAGATTAAAACAGAGTTTCAAATGCAAAGAACTCTTCCAAGCTATCAAAACATTTATCTCTTAGAAATCATTTCAACTGATTTTTGAAACTGCTTAATGTTGTTGCTTTTTGAATATCTTTCTCTTAATTATTGAGTATTTTACAACGATTCCTGATATGGAGTACGATGTTGAGGGGGTATCAGCAAATAGTTAGATCATGTTTGATAACCGTGTTCATTTTTGTTATTGAAGAGGTTCAATTCATTTTTATGTAAAATATTGACAAGTCATAAATGGCAATAACATTCTTAACGATTGAAAAAACTCCCTGCAAGATTTAAGCCAATTAAGATTTGCATCGATTCTAATAACAAACATATTTTTGGAGAAGAAAGACTCTATTTATCGATGAGCTGCATACTCAGCTCAAAACGCCACAGCGCAAGTAATACTTAAATTTGAATAGTATTCAGTGAGTAAAACTTGCTTACTACAGTGAGACACTTTATACCATAAGCACTTTTACGTAATAATTTATGACACGGCGATTCCACATGTGGCTCCCAAGTTAGATGACAACAACTTAACTGAAAGATATGTTTCAATTGCTGAAACGTTATTGAAACCAACGAAACATCGGTTATCTATTAATAAAAATTTCATTAATCGGATCGTATCTGTATTTAAGACCATTATTTACCGACTATTTTTGAGCGGTTGACTATTATGAGAGAGTTCAATGTTACCAGAACTGGTCAATAAGATGTTAATATCATCCACATATGATGAATTTTACAACTGAATTCGACAGATATTCATTGAGATCATTCGCATATAGTAAAAAAGAAAAGGTTCCAAGATCGATGCTGGGGGATCACCTGCCTCGATAATCGTCACATCGCTACTTGCATCATTAACACGGTCATGTTAATTTTTTCCTTGAAGGTGTGATTGGAAAAGTTGAATGGCAAAGTGTCAGTATTTTCGTCAAGCCCAGCTTCATTTCAGCGCGATACAGTAATAATATCGCAGGGGGCCGACATTGTTCTTTATGGTGTTTTCAGATATCCTGGAAATTTTCGCGAAAAAGGCGGACAATTCGCTTGGCAGGCTTTGACTTAACTCTGAGATGCTATCGGTAAAGAATTAAAGCCAAAACATGATCAAAAATTCCAACTCAATACATCAAAACGCAGAAAATCATAAATTTGCCTCTGCGAGATATATGGCAGCCTGCATAACTTGTACCTATACAGAGACCTCCCTCCTCCAGTGCCACGTATGCACTATTTCTTATTATTTACTCCATATCAAAATGGTTAGGCTCCTTAACCAGTGGACTAATAGTAAGAGAACATACATTCACACAAAGAACTAATCAAGACTGCGCAAAGTGCCATGTATCACACCTGCTGCTTCGTGCTTCTTGGCTACTCATCAGCATGGTCTAGGTGTGGTCTCTTGTCTTTGGACGAACGAACCGAAGCATCGCAACTATCCTCTATTCTGGAGGTACAGTCTATCGAAATAAGACAGCGCAAAGCGCCATCTATCACATTAGAATCAACCACTGCGGGAAGCGTATAGCTCCTATTAGTAACTGTTAGAGATCTCAGTTCACGTTTAATAGCCCAGACGCTAGATGACGATTCTATAAGATAAACATGATGCTTTCGCCCGTCCGACCGTAAAGCCAACCATAAACAGCTGTTTCGTGCTTCTTGGCTACTCATCAGCATGGCCTAGGCTTGGTCTCTTGTCTCTTCGATAGTCCTGGAAAGATTTCTCCTTCTCGGCGGTATCCCGGGGATTTATCTCGTTAACACGTGCCGGGAGAAGAATACTCTTCAATACTCCTCCCTGCAGTCCAGTGGTGTGTGCTAACATCAATCTAATTTATCAAAAGTTTTAGTGAATCACTACTTGCTGATCATTGTGCCCTGAAGACTGATTGCACTCGCAAATAATTAACAGCAAAGCGGAAAGATCGTTTATGCAATTTTTCAGCGATTCAGCAGTAAATCATAAAATTATCAGATGCTGGTATAACAAGCTGTTCCAATATAATTTATGCTACAGAAGTTTCCTGCGGGTAATATACTCATAACTCCAGCATAAACATTCCACATGTGATACTCCTCATCTATATTGCATCTATTAACAACAGCTATTTTTTAGAGAGTCTTCGTATAATACTAGCGCCTGCTTGCTTGATAAGGGTTTTAATTGAGGTGTCAGATATGAATCTCTATTATTTCGAGGAGCTATAAGATATGTTTATTTCATTTAAAATACCGTTGACTCTATAAGCAAAATTCAGTTCTATCCATGCTATTTGGTCGCCCTATTTCATTATCTTTGTTGATCCGTCCTTCAACTGAAGGAAGTTTCTTCCCTCAGAGCGTACCATGTTCTTGATATTCTAGGAGCAAAGGCGTGGTCATAGTGGCCAGTTCGCGGCACACCGAACTTAACCGCCTCAGACTAAGGGTAGAGGTCTGGTTCACCTGGAATGTCTGGAATACGATGGCATCATGAATAAGTGATGAGAACCTTCAGATCTTCGGTTAAAAAGGAACTTCCTAGATCTGAATCGACTGCCTTTCTTTAATTGCTATAATGATACGTTAATGTGTCAGCTCATGTCTAATACCACAGGTTAACATTTAATGCCGTGATCGCTTGACCGCCATCACGCCATTTCAAGGTCAAACTTAGAACAACTGCCTAAACGTTTTCAAATAAATGTATAATGATGCTTTTTGGATTGTTGAATCTAAATATGGCGTATTTTCAGGATGATCTTCCCGGATGGAGGCTTCCAGTTAGATTCAAACACTCGTACAGACGTAGACCTTGCAATAACCTTGATTGGACATTGAAATAACTTCTGGATGACCTCACGTGGTAAAACAAATACAGTATTTAGATTCAGCTACCTCGAAAACGTGATTGTGGAGATTTTTAAATGTATCGAGACACTTCTAAGGAACAAACTTGATGTGACTTTGAAATAAATTTTCCAAATGTACTGAGACACTTCTACGGAATAACCTTAATCTGTCCTTGAAATAAACTTTAGATGATCCGGGTAAAACAAACGCCAGATTTGGACTAAAAAAAAAACAGTAAATGGTGGCTTTCAACTAGATTCACACATTTACAAACGTTGACCTTGATATCACCTTAATCACTTTGATGTATCCTCTGAATGACCTCGCTTGATCTCTATTACGTCATTTTAAGGTCAAACTTAGAAAAACTACCTTAACATTTTTGAATAAATGTATAATGATGCTTTTTGGGTTCTTGAATATAAATCTGGCGATTGTTTAGACGGACAAGGTCATGCACTTGATATAATCTTAGTTTGTACTTGAAGTATTCTCTGGATGATCTTCTCGGATGGAGGCTTTAAGCACTTTTACAGACGTAGATCTTGCAATAACTTTGACTAGACATTGAGATAACTTCTGGATGACCTCACGTGGTAAAACAAATACAGTATTTAGATTCAGCTACCTTGAAAACGGAGTTGTGGAGATTTTCAAATGTATTGAGACACTTCGGAACAACCTTAATATGGCCTTGAACTTTAGATGATCTTGCTGGGTAAAACAAACGCTAGATTTGGATTCAATAACAAAAGAAAAGTTTTCGCCTAGATTCACACATTTACAAACGTTGTCGCCTTAATCGCTTTGATATATCCTTTGAATAACCTCGCTAGGCAAAAAATCGCTGCATGATTTGGATTCAATAACTGGAAAGTGTTATTGATAGGTATATATTTTTTTAAATTGTTAAGTAACTTGTCTAAATTTGACCTTGTGATAACTCTTACAGCCGCTTTATACGATTGAATAAATTGATCGATTTAAAAACATTGAATAAGTTGGAGCATGTAAACATAAAAATTAGCAATTCCTCCATAACAATAAATTCATGAATAAATTTCCAGATTAGAACTTGTTTGCGTAAATTTATTGGGGAATGTCAGTTACTTGTGGTTCTTTTTCCTAGATACCAACCTTCTTCATTTGATGCGTTCAAATTTTATGATTTGAGATTAATCTACCCAGTTTGGTTTGGCGCTTTGGTTTTAATTTGGGATTTAATATTTCATCGGGAGCAATCAGTATGTAAGTACACTTTTTTATTGGTTAAGTTCATTATGCAGGGTGTTTTCAATGATGAACTCGTCAAAAGGAGTTGGTATACCAAAAATCACCAATATAAAAGTTGGATAATGAAAGGAACAGTAAAGGATTAAAAATTTAAAAAATAAGAATGTTATTGCACAGATTTTTTTAATATTCTCGACCACTGCCGTGTAAAATCTTAAA